ACAGGAAGTGGTCCAGAGTTATGGACATCAGAACAGAAGGGCACATAGATGTAAGGATAGAGAGTCATACAGGTCAAAGCAAAACTGTGAGTATCAAAAAGCCATTCTATAGACGGAGTCATAATTTAGAAGGACTGGTCGTTGAAAGAAAGAAAATTCAGAGTAGTAACAGCAAGTTGTTTTTTTATTCTTTTGGGAAAGGGATGGTAAGTAGATTGTAATTCAGGTGCCAAATCTAGTATACAGACAAATGCCAAGGCTTGACATCAGGAAGCAATGTCAATCTGTGAAGTCCATCATGAGGCTAGAGGAAAGGGGGGGCAATGAATAAAGGTACTTGTTATTCCAGTGGAAACTACTATTCTCAGCTCAAGCAAGGCCAACAAAGAAATGAATACCTGTCCTGAAAGGGTTTTTCTTGGACCACACTCAGGTGTTACATCATACTTAAATGGAGCCTGGGCCACTGTACTTACTGAAGGGATCCTGGGTGTTATTCTCCTCAGGAGCACCCTGGAGAACCAATCTTGAATTGCTCACATTGCTTCTTCTTAGTAACTATTAGGCTTTATTTTCTGGCCACTGTGAATTGTTATGAGTGTGTGTGTCTTTTCTGGGACTGCCTGCTCAGAAGCTCAAGGGCCAATGATCTGCTGGCAAATGTATAAGCTTCCACCATAAAATGGGGCCTAATCTTACCTCAGACTTCACCCTACTTTCCTTTTTCATGCATTTCCATTTTCTCGGCTTTTTCCCCCTTCTGAATCTCAATACATTAAATGGATATTTAAAAGCCATCTTAAAAATTCTGAAAGAAGATAGGCACATAGACTAGACCACCTCAACCAAAGTAACAGAAAATAGACTAGCTATCATCAAGGAAACAAACAAAATAGGGGGAAATGTTAATGGCAATGTAAATACAGAGAGATACCTGTATACCTATGCATACAGCAGCACCACTACTACAACAGTCAGGATGTGGAACTTGTCTAGGTGTCTAAAAACTGATGGTTAGAGAAAATGTGGTATGTATTCAACAAACAGCCTCAAGAAGAACAAAATTCTGTCAGATGCAGGAAAATGTATGGAAGTGAAGATCATTGTGAAGAGAGACAAGTCAAGCTCAGAAAGACAAATATTGCATGTTTTCACTTATATGTGGAAACAATAATATGCCATGATTTTAAAAGGGACTTTTTTTTAAAAAAAGAAATCAACAGGTAGAAGAGGAGAGGAAAGGACATGATAATGATGTGCATGAAAATACTATAGAAGTACATTATATGAAACAGCGTAATGGAAACCACTAAAAAAGGGGAGGGAAGCCGGGTGCCAATGGCTCATGCTTATAATCCTAGCTACTCAGGAGGCTGAGATCTGAGGATCATGGTTCAAAGCCAGCTTGGGAAAGAAAAGTTCCATGAGACTCTTTATCTCCAATTAATCACTAGAAAACCAGAAGTGGCGTAGTGGCTCAAGAGGTAGAACACTTACCTTGAGCTGAAGAGCTAATGGACAGCGCCCAGGCCCGGAGTTCCAGTCCCACAACCAACAAAAAAAAGGGGAGGGGCAAGAAAAGAGGGGAATAGGGAAAGAATAATAAAGAGAGGATGAATGTGATCAAGAGTATGTTACATGCATGTAGGAAACGGCACAATGAAACTCAATTGTAAAATTAATTTATACTAACAAAAATGATAGAACATACATTGAGCAGCCAGTGGAGCACATTTTACAAGTGCTGCCTACTCTGGCAGTGGTTATGGGGAAGCTCCAAGCGAGCAGGCTGAGGGAGGGGTGGTGGCTTTGGATAGGAATAGTCCTGGGCCAAGCTGCCAACTCAGCAAACACCTGAGTCGACTTCTTGTCTTCCTTCTGTCTCGACTTACCTCCTGCACACTCTATCCTTCCTTGGGTGACTGAATGCCCTCAGGCCTATCCCTGGGCACGGAGCACCTACTTCTCTTTAGTACTATAGTTTGTTCTTGTTACTCAATTCTTCCACCAAATGAAAATATCTCCCACCTCTACAGGACTTTGTGTTTGACCTTGTCAATGGCTGATAGCTCACCTCCCTTCCTCTCTCAGGACAGGAACCTTTTAACAAGGTATTTTGAATGATAGTAAAAATTCGTCATGTAAATGATGCACTAATGATAGAATATACTATAAAAATGGTATAGATGCAAGCAAATAGGTGGGCAAATCATTTTGTAATTCTGAAAAAGCTCCATGTACAGCAGCTAACATTATTCTAACATACAGTTATCATTCAAAAACCAGTAGGGAGGGGCTGGGAAGGTGGCTCAGTGGTAGAGCACTTGCCTTGCATGCTCAAGGCCCTGGGTTCGATTCCTCAGCACCACATAAGCAAAAAGAAAAAAGCCGGAAGTGGTGCTGTGGCTCAAGTGGTAGAGCGCTAGCCTTGAGCTGAAGAGCTGAGGGACAGCGCCCAGGCCCAGAGTTCAGGCCCATGACCGGACCCAAAAAAACAAAAAAAAACAAAAACCAGTAGGGAATGGCACTGTCCAAAAGAGAAGTATATGCATTACCTGAATTGTGAAATGGTAACCCCTCTGCACAACACCTTCATGATAACAATAAAATTATATTACCAAAAAAAAAACCCCAGTAGACACTACTTATTACCACTATTGTCATTATTACGTCTATCTCTTCCTAGCTGCTGCCTAACTATTCATTGCCTAGGGCTGTACCACCATCAGGCAGATAACTATCCTGCAAAACATTGATTACTCACAGATGCACACAGATGGATGTGTTTAAATTACACTGTATCACTTTACACTGTAAAACTTTTTAACATACTACATCTTATTATCTTCCCGACAATTTTCAAACCAAAAATTATTTCTACGTTCCAAATAGGGAAAGATTGCATTGATAAGGTCCCAGAGCTGAGGTCTAACAAATCTTATTAAATTTTTTTTGTTCTTTCTGTAACAAAAACAAGTGATTGCCAGCTGCATAACCACCACATCAGAATCATGGGGGTGCTTTAAGATCCCTGGGTCAACCTCAAATCTAAGGAATGCACAAGGCCGGGTAGAAGGGACTATGTGAGTCTGTATTATGGCAATGGATACAGTGTCCAGGCTGCTTCTTGCTTGACTAAGTTCCCACTGTACTCTCAGCCCATGCTGCAGGCCACTAAGAAGCCATATGGAACCTTCTGCTCTCAAAGAGCTAACAAAGCAACCAAGGAAGAAAGAGCAGCCAAGTGAAAAGAGTCAAGAGGGCACTAGTTGGCTTGAAAGGAGTTCAGAGTCAGTGAGAGTACAGATAGCAGGAGTGAGGTCATGATACAGAGAAGGGAAGATTCCATTAGGCCTTGTAAAAATGGGGAAGATTTCCATGTAGAAGAGGTATGCAGAATGAGACGCTTTGAAGATAAATGGTAAAAAGTGAAGTCTGGCAAGAATAAAGGGAATAGTGGGAGGTGAGCGAGAGAACACAGGGCCAGATAGTGAGAGTAGAAAAGTCACAGAGAAGCCTAGGCTGGTGTGACAGGGATGGCTTCTGGTCAGAGAGGAGCATCCTGTAAGGTGAACTGAAGGGTGACTAGTGTGAGCTAGTGTGGCAGTATAGCGTTGCAGGGTTGAAAGGTGGAAAACCTGGTACCAGCAAGGCCACTGAGGAGCCCACTGAACAGACTGACATTTCAGATACCAAGTGAGTCTATGATTCTACAGTGTTACTCATCAAGATGGAGTCAAACTAGGCAATGAGATGAGAGCATGACCTGAGTCTTCTTGATATGCATGTGGTTCATATTCTACCCAGCTGTGATCCATAAACACTACAGAAGATGGCCAGGTGGTTATACTTCTCCTCCCTGTAACCATGCTCCTTGCAATGAGACTGTGATGAGATCCTCACACCAAGAACGCTTACCTATACCTCCTGAATCTAGGTTACCCATACAACCTGCCTTAGCCTACAGAGTGCAGTGGGAACACTTGGCCTCAAGACTATTCTGTCTCTCTTGACACCATGCCCAATCACCAAGTGAGCAGAGTACTTCATTGAAGAACAATGAAGAACATGGCTTACCACTTCAGCCAACAGCCAGGTGACCCACAGAAAAAAAAAAAAAAGCCTGTCCTGATTTGGACCTGATACATGAATAATCTCAGTTGAAACTAGAAGAATTACAGAATTGGCCCAGAAAATTAAGCAATTGCTGTTTTGAGTGAGTGACTTTTGGGAGTAAAGTTTGTTATACAGCAAAAGCTAACTGTTACACTCTGACAATAACAGAACAGCTGCAATACCAGTGATTCTACATGAAGCCTGAAAAGCATTTCCACTTAACAAGTGCACTTTTTTTCTTGTTTCTAAAGGATGTTTTCTACTAACAGAAAACTATTGTAACTAGTTAACAGTCATGTTTGGGTAAGTTGAGAAATCAGATTAAAAAAAATAGATCAGTAAGCAAAGGAAGAGTTGATACTGTCCAATAAAAAGAAATGTACTCAATACCTGACTTATGTAACTGTAACCCCTCTGCATATCACCTTTGTAATAACAACTAAAACATAGATCAGTAATAAGGAGTGTAGCTCTGGTATGTTGTAGCTGTGTGTCAATTTTCATTGCAACACACTGCAAGGGACTGTGAATTCCTTGGCTGAAGTAACAGTTTGTTATTTTGGATACTATTTGAAACAAGCAGACCATCAACAGGAGCCTGGAAATAGTTTCATTACAAAGCAAAGTTTTTATTTGAATAATATTTGGTATGCAGTGGCTTAGCTCTCCCTTGCCCATGTTCTCAGCAAAAGAATATGAGTTGCTCTTTATTTTTTGTTTTTGGAAGGCATAGGAACATCATAAATCTTTCTGGAAAGGAAAAAAGTACAAATATATAGACATCTAGTCATAGTACCGGAAAGGATACATCTAACTTAGAAGTGTGAATAGCATTTCAAAAATAATGTTAGAGTCACTTTGTTTTATAAAGAAAGAGAACTTACCAGTAAAATTTAGTGTGATCCAATGTTTTCAGGTTTCAAGTAGGAGAGTGAATCTGAAACAGAATTAAACAAACATTCTGTAAGTAAATCACATTTGGATAGTGTGTTTTGGTCCCAAGTGACTGCCATAAAGTTGAGTATTTATTCTTTTAGTTAAAGATTAACAAAGCTTTTTCTGGCTCCTAATGGAGGAGAAAGTGTATTTTTTTCTACATGTTTCAACTTCTTGAATAGAGGGTGTTTTCTCATCTACTTCAGGGAGTGCTGAAAGTCTGAGGCTAGTATAACTATAAATGGTAGTGTTTTCATCCAACCCCCTCTAAGTCAGCACAAGCCTCCTTAGCTGGTGCTTTTCCGTTGGTCTCACAGCCCCCTCTGCTAGGACCAAGTCAAGGCTCCATCTATGGACTCTCGTAAAAACTGCTGGTCAGCCTAACCTGAAGGACAACAGGAGGGCATGCCAGACTTTCCAACAGTGGACAGCAGTAAAGTTACCACAAAGTTCTGTCTTATCAATAATGGTGAGCTTCAGGGTGTGTTATTCAAGAGAAACAGAATGCAAGCCATGTGTGTAACATTACATGTGTTATTTACCACATTAAAAAAGGAAACCTGTTAATTTTAATAATAGTTTAAACTTAACCCTTTATCCAGAATACTATCATTTCATGTAAAATTAAGACATTTCACATTTTTAACCTAATTTTATTGTGTATATTTGAGGCTTACAACATGACATTATGAAATATACATAAATATTATAAAATAGCTACTAAGCTGATTAACATATGTATCACCCCAGTAGCTCTTTGTGACAACAGTAGCTAAAATGTACCAACTTAAAAGTCCCCAATATATGTTGGATGTATGGCTCAGGTTGAAGGGCACCAGCCAATGAGTGAAAATGTCAGATACTGAGGTCAAGTACCAGTCTCAGAACAACAACAACCAAAGTCCCTAATATGATAGTTTTATTCACTTTGATCCTCATGCAATAAAGCGGAACTATAGGTTGGTTCATCCTATGATACAAAGGATACTTTGTATCCTTTGACCTGCATCTCTCCTTTTCCTCCTCTCTTTTTCAAAGGACATCTTCAAGATGCAGTTGTATCTCTCAACCCAGGATAGCCACAGCACAAGTAGTCAATAGCACACAGGGCTGGTTTCTACATGCAGGACAGCACAGGTCTGGGGAATACATTTGTAGCGATCAGATGCTGGCCAATCAAGTCAAAAGTATATATAAATTTTATTCATCCATTTTCTTTTTCCCAGTGATCCATCATAACCTCCTTTAATAATGTCATTTCAATGGAAATCATAAAGTAGAGAGAGCAAATATACAGCATTTCCTATGTGCCTGTTCTTGTTCCTGTTATTTCAACTAACCCTCACAAAAATAACTTGAAGTGGTAAGTCTATCATCATTCCCACTTTGTAATGAGGAAATCAAGGGAGGCCAAGTCACTTACCCAGGGTTATAAGATGGTGACATTCTGCCTGTATTCCATGCTCTTAGCCAATATACTGTCAATTAAATTTGAACAGCTCAAAATAGGGTAATTACTTTTAGTTTTAATTATAATCATCAAATGATCCAAGTTTGCTCTCATAACATGTTTAGATACTAGCAGTGATGGCAAATTGGGAAGGTTACTGATGTGCTAGAAAATTAAATTAAAAAACAATTTGGGATGGAACAGGAAAACCAGTATAGCAGGCCTGGGTTCCGAGGAACTGCAAGGAGCCTGAAGGGCCTGTGTGAATGGCCCAGGTGGAAGGGAGAGATGCTGTATGTGAGACTCATGAAAAACTTTGTCTTTGTGATTTTTCTCAGGGAAGGGTCCACCTATGATTATAATAAGACATGCTGGTATCTGTCTTTGCAGAGGTAAGGAGTTAAGACTGGAAGAATTAAGTCAAAAGCATGTGAGAAAACACATCCTATCCCCTTCATTAATCTATATTTAGTGAACCATTAATCTATACTCAAATTCATGCACAATCTTCCTACCCGTATCAGATAGGAAGGAGGGTGGCAAGTCGGTCAGTAATACCACTTAGAACCCATGGGGGGGAGGCCACTGCAAGGCACTGTAGCCTTGTCTTACATGGGAACTTGAACCTGTTGAAAAATCCTTTATGGAGTCCTCTACGGTTTTTTTTGGGTCCGGTTGTGGGGCCTGAACTCTGGGCCTGGGCGCTGTCCCTCAGCTCTTCAGCTCAAGGCTAGCGCTCTACCACTTGAGCCACAGTGCCACTTCCGGCTTTTTTTCTTTTTTGCTTATGTGGTGCTGAGGAATCGAACCCACGGCCTCAGGCATGCAAGGCAAGCGCTCTACCACTGAGCCGCCTTCCAAGCCCCGTCCTCTAGATCTAGTCCAAGCACCTCAGCCTTGTCTGAAAAGCTCACATGACCTCCTGTCTGTCCCCATTCCTAGCACTTCCAATGGGCTCTTTGTCCTTCAGCCACAACTCTTAAGTACCAGTAGTAAGTAGTATTATTCAATTCAGTTAACAGTTATGTGGCACTCTTTCTGATAACAACAATAAAAGCTGATCTTTACGGAGCTATATCCAAGTGCTTCACAAGCTCTGCTAACTCTTTTAGTAATCCTCTGAGGTAGATTTTATTGCCCTATTTAGCAGGTAAGTAAACTAAGGCATAGAAGTTAAGTCAGTAGTCTAGCATCACAGGCCTGTCAGACCTGACATTCTTTTTTTTTTTTGTTGGTCGTGGGGATTGAACTCTGGGCTTGGGCGCTGTCCCTCCTCAGCTCTTCAGCTCAAGGCAAGCACTCTACTGCTTGAGCCACAGCGCCACTTAACAGCTATCCCATTCCTGCCAACTAGGCACCATTACTATCTACTCTCATTGGCCCTTTAACTCTGCCACTGCAAGTAACTCAAATTTCTCATTTATTGGTCCTTGAAAATTGAGAATCATCCTGTAATTCATTTTTGTCTCTACAAGACCTTAGTAAGGTGTTTGGTGTATGTGTGTGTACATACACTCATATACAGAAACCTATCATATCATATATATGATATATGATTTGATATAATATATAGCATAATACATAATATGTATTATGAGTAGCTATATATTACATATATTATATATTACCTATCATATAATTTATTATATATGATATATTATAATATAATACATAATATGTATTATAATGAGTAACTATATATTATATATTACATATCATATATTATATAATATATATTGTAATATATATTATAAATATATAAAAAGCTCAAAACTAGTAACAACAGGGTAGTCTCCAGATATAACAAAACAAATTTTAACTTCATTTTTTAAATCTATCCAGTACCATGGAAACAATTATTTCCTATACTTGCTCAATATTGGAGGGAACAAAACAGTGCAGGACAGACCATATTTCCAAGTTCATCAGCTTCATCTTCTCTGTATGTAGATCTTAAGTAAAAGTACTTGGTGGACTTGACTGGTAGTGTATGCTAGGAAAGACACATTACAATTTGGCCTCTTGGATGGATAATCTTTGCCCTGAATTCTATGTTTCTTTCTGTTACTACCTAAACTCCTCCTGGATGACTGTGAAAAGTAATCTTGCAGGATTACTTTTTTTAATTTTATTTTATTTGTGAACATACTGTACAGAGGGGTTACAATTACATGGGCAGGATAATGCGTACATTTCTTACCAAGCATTGCAGCCTCCTCCTTTGTTTACCCTTCACATCCCTTCCCAGCCTCCCCCCCCCCCCCCAATCCCAATCCTTTTCCCCCCACACCACCCCCCACCGACGTTGTAAAGCTCGTTTTGGACATGACAACTTGTACTTCTCATTGTTGCAACAGGTCCACCTGTATCCTTAAACGACTTGTTTTTCCCCATCTCCTCCACAAGTTATACTGACATCAAATATAGTGAAAGCAGGGGTTATACTGTGGGGGAGGGACATACAAAGCAACAAAGAAATAATCTTATAAATGCGTTAGAAACACATGCATGAAAGAAAAAAACATTAAAATACATATCTAAGGGTTCATTTTCCTAACATCACATTATCTTTTCCGCTTGACTCACACATATACTAGATATTTGCAGGATTACTTAACAGTAGACAAAAGTTTCAAGATCTGGAACACGCACAGACCTCTGCAGACAGAACACACTCTTTTTAGCTCACAGCAGAGATTCCATTAAGGCTCTGGCCCACCCTACCACTCACAGATTTAAAAATTAACCCTAACACCCACCTTGCCCTCTGCATCTGAGTGCAAAGACTTTCCATGAACAGGGATAGCAACATCATCTGTCACTAATAAATTATAAATGTAGTTTGATTTGCTATCTCATCTCCCTCTACAATAATAACAATATTAATTTAGCTATTGCTGAGAGGTTTACAGGGCATAGATTGTGTGCTAAGCATGATGGTAGTTGCTGAAGATAACAGCAGTGAGTAAGGAAATAATTTCTGATGAGGTTCTTATTTGTAATGGGAGACAGAAAATGAATATGTATAGAAAGAAGTAAAAAGATAATTTCCAGAAGTGTTTAAGTTCTAAAACTTTTTTTTTCATATCAAGAAGCAATGTGACCTAATGAAGAGTTTGGCTACATCGGCTTAGCAGTTCTGTGAAGGAGTCTGAAGAGGCATCAGGGGCTAAGGTGGCCAATTCTGAGCCTCTTGACTGTTGGGGTGAGATGTATGGGTACTTTTCTATGATGGTAGCAGCAGAGATGGAGAGAAGTGGATGGGTTTCTGGGACAATTAGGATTTGCTGATGAGGTGGATGTGGGACATGAAACCGAGATTTTTTTTTTTCACTCAAGCAACTGGGTCAACAATGACTTCATTTACTCAGGGAGAGAAACAGGTTGAGCAAGAAAGAAAATCAAGAATTCTGACTTGACCTGGTTAACTTTGAAACATTCACAGACAGAAGGCAGTATGAAGTCTAGAACTAAGCCAGGCATGGTGGTGTACACCTAAACTCCCAGTACTCTGGAGGCTAAGGAAGGAGGAACATGATTTCAAGGGCAACCTGGGC